CAGGAAAATTTTGAGGTGGGGCCATCTGTTGATTATTGTGCTAAAATCTGGGGATTCTGCTGAAAGACGACACAAATGCACATGCGGTAGTATTCATTATTAACATATTCTGGATTATGTTTCATAACAGCTGCTCTTAGATTAAATTTAAATTTTTTGTTTAACGCAAAGGCAATAAAATTACTGTTTCAGTCAAAATATCTTCATAGAAAATTATGGGAAAATCAACAAACTTTTGTTTTTGCTTGACACCTTAAATTTTAAGCAACTGCAAAATTTCAAGCGTTTTGGATGAAAACGAGCTGGCTTGGCAAATGCAAGCATTTGCCTCCCGGCAGGTTTGGCTAGGCCTTAGCTCTGCTGATATTTATTAGTTTGCTTCAAAGAAGTGAATGGAGATCTTCGAGCTATGTACGGTGGCTTATGATTTAAAAACTGGAAATAACTTTGTCAGAAAAGGTAGTTGCCCTTTGCCAGTAAATGTTAGCTCAAGCTGAAAGTCCGTAGGGGCTTGATGAGATTTCCTAAAAATTCTTCGAACTGGTATTTTTTTATAACTTCAAAGCAACGGATTCTGGTTCAGGGTGTAACGTTTGCGACGGTGGCCGAGAAAGAGATCATTGATGCCGTTTTCGAAAATAGAGGCCTTATTAAAGTATCGATAAATCTTCGGTTACCGGAAGGCCGACACAAAATTGAGAATGCGATGATCAGGAATCAGGAAATAAGTAATTTTATATTTCATTCATACGAAGGAGGCCACACTATAAAATCAATCCGTGCTTCATCTAGAAGCGGGAATCTTCTGGATGAAAACGGAACTGGTTTTTAGCTCTCCAATCATAATACTCGATTTGCCTCAAATTGTGTTATGGGAAGGCTCCCATATTGAATTTTGTGGAGCTTAGCAAACAACTTCAGACCTTCTGTTATAGGTTACATTGCTGACCAGCTGCAAGCGTACGGTTTTTAAAAATTGTTAAAATCATTCATCTTGTGCATCACAAACTTAGAATTTATTTGTGTTATTTGATGCGTTACGCTGCTAAAAACAGCCCAGACTGGCATGGCAGTGATTGATTGCTGGGTGCCTCGTGCAGTGCTAACAGATAAATTATCCTAGGGAGGATACTGAGGCGACAGGCGGCGGCAGCAGCTCGAGCAGCCGAAGAAGCGTTGAAGAAAGCTGAAGATGCGAACAAGTCTGTCGTAACTGAACAAAAACTTCCCAAGAAGCAATTAGCTCCTAGCAAACCCATTAATCGAAATGCGCCAAAAGCACAGCTACCGGTCACGAGTGAAAACCCACCAAAACAGCCATTTGCAGCACCAACAAAAATTGTAAAAGAATCGCATGCTCCTATCTCAGTTGCTGGAAAAGTACTATCAGCCGCCAGCTCAAAAGCGCCTCCAGTTGTAACTGGCAATGTTAAGAGACTGTTGGATGCAGCGAAAGCGCAATCCGCCATAAATAGTACTTTGAAGAGCGTACCGCCAGCGAAGACAATCGTTATAAAAGGAATGCCGGAACAATCAGCCCAATCACCAGAGCCGAAGCAAACTGTGAGAAAAACAGCTACAAAAACGAAACCTGAGGCGATTACTGCCGAACCAGCAGTAAAACCAAAGCTGAAGAAAACAATGCCGAAAAAGAAAATTCCTTTGGAGCAAGCAGAACCGGAGCTCGAATTGGATACCGAACTGTTACCAAAAAAGGTTGGCACCTCATTTGTGTTTGTTAGGCTTTAGCTCTTTTCGCAAC